TTAAACTTTTCTCATTTCAGTTTTTACAGCCAGTCATAGCTCGATGTAATTTGGAGTAGCATCCTGTACGAAAAGCAACTCTATTCTATCGGCTTTGTTTTTAACTTCAAGACAAACGATGTGTTTGCTTGTTTCGGAAACTGTTTTTTTCCCTTAGATTATAGTGCACTTTTGAACTGAGTATCGTGTTCTCGAAACTTGACCAATTTTTGCAATCAATCCAGCGGTACCTGGAGATTTTAAAAGCAAAGTTTACTGTTTTGCCGTTTTAAAAATCTTACGAAGACCATAAGGACTCGTTAGACGTAACGAAACGATTGAGCTATCTTCAGGAACAAAGAGGTGGAAAAAGTTCAAGAATTATGCGAACTCTACCTAACTGAAAAGACCATTGTCAGTTTTAACAAACCTGTGTTCAAATAGAAGACGATAAGTTGAATATAATAATTCGATTCTTTTAAAAATGTGCAAATATGGAGCGGCTTAGAGACTGATTAATATGTAATATTTGTGTCTACTAGTTGGTTGTGTTCTTCAGATAGGAAATAAAAAGACTTCCCGCGATAAGTGAAGCCATTTTTAAATGTCAAAGGCGGTGTTAAACTCGTCTCATACTCTTTGCCGCTTCTTAATATGTCCAAAAGGATTATCACGGCTCATTTAAATACGATCTTTTTATCTATTCAATGGTTAAAAATTAATTTCTAAAATCGTGCAGCCTGAAATAGTATTTTCAAAATTGAAAAATCGTGTTCATCATATTAATGAGTTGCAGAGATTTTTGAGAAAAACTTAATGACAATTGCAACGAAGCCGTAACAACAGAGAAAATAAACTTGGAGCGCTAACGCGTCGGTAAAGCGGTTTGGACGCCTTTAAAAAACAATTTTGTTTTTCTCTTTTGAAATTCAGAGACAATGGAAATTCGACTGTAGTATTCAAATGGTGAAATCATGGTAAAGGTATCAATAGACGTCAGAATATTTTTTTGAAAAAATCATCGGCGTGGTGAGAAGGTGAGTTTATTATCAGAGTAATAGCACCTTGGCTTAAACATGATGAGTTTTTTTAGAAATAAATAGTCATGTTTATGCTTTTTAAATCTAAACTAAAATAAAACGATATATGAAATGTCGGTAGCGCATCTTGATAGCTTAATGAAAAGTTTTTCGTGGTTTTAAAAAGCCGTTAAAGAACAATGGCCGATTTAAAAGGGGCGTTTTACGGAAGGGGTTCCGCACCTACCTTGTTTATAATTTTTTGAGTGAAAGTTGAGAGGCAGAAGAACGCGTTAGGTCGAGTTGAAATTTAATTGTCACCAGAGCGAAAGTTTACGAATTTTTAAAAAGTTATTAGCTAGTGCCGCAGCCGATTTCAAATAAATTAAAAAAAAAAAAAAAACCCGGAGGTAGGCGGATGGTCATTTAAAAGGTGTAATTATTGAATGTCGGCAAAGAACCCTCCACCTTCTAAAAAGTGCTGCTTGGATTTCAGAATTGAAAAACAAAGAAAACTTCGAAAGAGGCTTTTTACGAAAAAGAAATAGCGCAAAATTTAGTTTTACATAATAAAAAATGCACTAAAAATAGGTAATACATCTGGAATTGGAAATTATCTAAAGGCGGAGTATCTAATATAAAACAAATTTTCGCTGTAGAAGTCACATCCAAGAGGTGTAACAAGAATATTTCAAAAGTTTTCCGGAGTGAAACAAAAGCTAGGTGGCAAATGTTTGTCTTTCCAATCATCTCAGTGTACAACTATTCCCTCGGAATCATTACAATTATTTGTAATTTCCGTCGACTTGGACATTCCACGCAAACCTTTGCGGCACTTCTTAAACATTTTGTAATTATTGGTCGCGTATTAAACCCGTCGCGTCGTCTTCAACCATTCAGGCAAGGCCGGCATTATTTTCGGAAGTGATTTGTGCTTGCAAATTGTCCCAAGAATTAAGAAAGCTTACGGAAATGGGACAGATGACGAACGCTTAATGGCTGCAATTGGGTTTTGTTCTTCCTTTCTTTAGCCAGGAAGGAATAATTGAGGGCAAACAGTTTTTTAACTCTATTGAATTCAGTGCCAATTTTCTTGGCATGCGGCTATAAAAGAAGGCGACAAACCTAGATTAACTACAATACTTTATAACAAACTCATATCGAGTCTGCAGTTGAGTCCACCCGACTGAGTAACCTTCCTCATTTGCAGTAAACATGAAGACCACGATGATGATCTTTGGCCTGCTTTTCACGTTAGCCTTGATTTCACAGACCGAGTGCTTTACGGCTGGAATCGGAAACGTGGGAAAGAGGCAGCTAACGAAGGTAGATAACTTTTTTTCACAATCAAAAATTGATCTCAAAAACTTTTGTTATCCTCTGAAAGCAAATTTGATACGAATTTTTAAGTTAACTGTATTTCGCTTCTGGGATCAGTCTATTTTCATATTTTAGATGCCGTGTTGTTAGAGGTTTTTCTCGAAGCCTTTTTTTTGGTCAAAAAGATGTTATGAGCGGTAACCAAATAGAATAGCGAAAACAAAATCATAAAATTCTCCATTTTTGAACGTTTGAAAAAAAAATTAATTTGAAATTTTTTAATTCATTTTCTCTAAGAAATTTTTCTACCGTTAATTTTTATGGCAATTTCGATTTCTTGTTTCAGCTTTAATGAATACATGAATTAAAATCCCCACGCAAATGTGAAATAAGTCGAAGTGAACGAAATCTTCTAACGACACAAGGCGAAAATTAAAGGAGTGAAAAATTAAACAACGAAAAGGCATCTAAAAGAGACTGCTTTTTAGCCGGAATGGCTATTATGTCAAAGTTTTCAATATTTCAGGTCTATTCATTGTATCAGTAAATACTATTATTCATTCGCTTCCGAAACTTTGTCCAAATCTACCAAAAAGAAGGCTTTAAAAGAATCCGAATTCTAGGTGGAAAATATTATAAAATTCAAATACCTCACCTTGGAAATAAGACAACCTTAATTTTCGGTTAGGAACAATATATTCGATCATTAATTTAGTCAAAGTTGATTCTCAGAAGCAATAAAGTATCCTGTCCTTAATTTTAATTTCACTTGAATATTCCCAAACTGAGAGGATACCGCTGTCCAATTCTAAATCTGAGATAAGTCCTATTTTTTTTTTAACTGCTGAAATATAAATATATAGCAAGTGCAGTTCTTGTTGAATTAATACTGGGCAATTCGTGACAAACAGGATTTGAAAGACAATCAAATTTTCAGCGGTATGTTAAGTTTGAAATGATAAAGGTATCAAAACATTGCATAATATTATAAAATTTTGATGCCTATCATAGAAGCATTCCGAGCTTATAGGCTTCCTCCTAGGGAACTGATTCTGTTTCCTCTATCTTTACTAAACTCCTGGCTGAAAATCAGGATTCGAGCCATCATATTCACGTGAGAAAAAATATACAAGATTACTTGGCTATTCGAGTCCAAAAGAAAAATAAAATCTAAAATACCTCTCTAAGAATCCTCCTCGCGCAGGATTTGAACCTGGGGTAGCTTTCCTTTTATTCTTCTTCACTCTGATTCTATAACTTGCGCCTAGAGTACACTGTGGTCTTAAACATCTTTTTTTTATGCGTCTGTTTCAGGCATACCAGTCGTTAGATCGCATTTGCAGGGAAACACAAGCTATCTGTGTGGAGGCCGCAAAGGATGTCTCACGGCGATCAAAGACAACGAAACGCTCTCAGGACACAGGGCTGAATATGGAATGATTAGCAAATAACAACATGTGAAACTAAAACCTACTGAAGACAGCCTGAAAAATGACACACGTTCGAAATTTATCAAAGGTCCCCTTTCCTGTTACGAAGAGCGGTTTTATTTGTGTAAAACACTTTCCATTCGCTTTTCGAAGAATTAGTTTTTTTCGATGTCAATATATAAAAGAGAGAAGGAAAAAATAGGAATGTTGAAAAATAAAGTACATGCGTCAAAAATTGTTATGGTGGCGTTTCTCTTTCTACGCTTAAATATTTTGAGTGTTAAAGGATCTTAACTCTTAAAAGTCTTGGGAGGATTATTAACTCGTTTTTACGGTTGACATTTCGTTAATATTCTAGCGTCCGAATAAAATTTGCCTTAAATCGCAGTAGATCGCGACTACCAAACATAGCCGCTAAGGTATATTAATTTCAAACCTTTCTTGAGCAGAATGCTCAGTTTCCGCAACATGCACTTCCTACAGTACACAACAGAAAAAACTTTGCTGCAATTTTTTCTCATTTTACACCACAACAAGAGAAATCAAGGGATGAACATTTAAGATAGGTTCGTCCTACGTTCTTATGCACCAGTTAAGATAAAAACTGAGTCCAAATGTTAGTTAATAAAAATACTTTACATCACTAGAAATCCATAATATTTTGAAAAGAATGAAACACGACTGAGCAAACCATTCTTTTATTTCATTCGTCCACTTTCAGAGCTTTATAAAACATGCCATAAGAAATGATTTACTTATTAAGGGCTATTTAGCTTAACAATCGATACAAAAGAAAACATATGCTATCAATGCCAACCAAAAAGACAAAAGGAAGTACTCATGGCATCTTTGTCATGCCTGACGAGGCACTTGTTAGATTTCAGAGTCAATTTTGTTTCCAGTATAAATTTTTATTTCCAGCTGTTTTAACACTCACCATTAAGTGGCGCATGACCAAAACCAAACTAATCACAACGACCAACCAGACGAAAGGGAAATACTTTTAATAGTCAATGAGAACTCAAAATAGAATCAGGAATTGGAAATGCAGCGTCAAAGTCACAATTGGTTTTCTTCTGAGTCTGATCGAGTAAGTGACACAGGTTTTCTGGACCAATTACAAAGCGAAGAAAGGCAACCAGGAAATCTTAGATGTTTTTAGACTCAATTGAAAACCTACAACTCACATACAATATTCTTTAGAAATATTTGGGCCAAACGAGGGTTTATACTCGGTCCTCACGCACGTTCATTAAGCCGTTTCCTTTATCGTGGCGTTCCATAACACATCTTTGTAATAAGACTCAAGGGAAGTCTTGACACTCTGCGCATGCTTGGAATCTCTAACCTCGACCAAAATGTTGCACTGAGTAGGAGAGGAAACAGGGGATTATTTTTTGAATTCGAAAAGAGTTCACATAAAATTCTGATGATAATTTTCAAGAACCATCTCTGCCTTCCTTCTCCCCTCGAACTCGAAAAATCCTTTGTTTTGAGGTAAATATTTAGGTGAATATCTGTTTTCTTTTTTACCCTCCAGAAAGTCGGTCTCAAATCAAATAATATTTCCAGTTGACATTTACTTTATTATCACCATCTTTTTGCTTGGAAAGGTACGCAAGAACGTTCTTGGTAATTGTAGACGAAACTAGTTTTGTCATCACATCATCAGTTTAATGTGTCGAACGTGAACGCAAAATCAGGATATTCCTGAGTATGGCGAAGCTCTAATCTTGTAGAGAGAAATTTTTTTTTGGTCCCATTTTGGAATGAAAGGGTTGATCATTTTCTTTTTAAATCTCGTCATACCTCTTTTATATGCAGTTACATCCTATCATTATTCATAGACTTTTGTGTGCCCTAAAAAATTTCAAAACAACACAAACCACATTTGGTAATTTGTTTTATCGTTTTTCATAAAAAAAACTTTACCTTCAACGTAAACATATTGTTGTCAGTCAGAATTTGTTCTTGAGTCATATCTCGTATCCTAAAAAAAAAACATCCAGAATTTGTCTCAGATGCTGAATATTCTATGGAAGTTTGTTTAAAGTTAGCTGCTACATGATCAATACTCGTCTCGTCTCTCTCGATAAAATTTTTTGCTAATACAAGTTGGACTCAAAATCTTCGCAGCTAATAATTTCGCATCACAGTTGTACTTAAATTTCCTTCCTCCCATACCGTGCGCTCACGGAGGCTAGTAACGTAATTATTTGTGCCAGTCCTCCCGATTTTTCGTCAATGGTAATTGTAAATCGCACCAGTCTCCCCTCTAGTGCAAGTCCTTTCTCAATACAAGAGCTTAGTACAGACGGATCGATATTTCCACCACAAAGAGGCACGACTACTCTGCAAATAGACAAAGGAGCAGTTTGAGATAATATAATCTTTCTTAATTAGAAGACACATCAATATCTTAAGGGTGTGGTGCGCGTTTGTCACAAATTCCCTATTTCTCAGTCCTTCGCTGTGCGAAACCTTTTGTAATGGTACACCTCTCTCATTTAAACACTGCAATTTTACCTTCCCCCGACGTTTCAAGTAAATTTCCTCTCCTCTGGAGGTTAGCTCAGCTGACAGATTATTTAAGCGCAGTTCAAATCACTAAACGAGTGCTAATTACTACAGCAAGTTGCCGAAAACCCACTGCTAAATTGTCAAACATTTTCAACAAGAATACTTGATGCATAAGATTTATAACTGTATGGACTCAGATCTGCAAACTTACCGTTTGCCATGAAGCTCTGGTAGATACCCACCCAGCAAGGCTGCAACACCGGCTGCCCCAGATCCCTCAGTGACGGCACGTTCATTTTCTATGAGCTTCAGTACGGCTAAACTAATATGATCGTCACTGCAGGGAAAGGTAGTTTATATTTCGGATTAAGCTCTAATATCGTTCTTAAAAGTACAGTTAAGACCTATCCGCACTATCTCTGTAGATTACTGCATGAAATGTGTGACAATAAGGGATTTCAATAAATTGGTCATATGATCAAGAATAGTATGAAGTTCCACTTTCTAGAATGATGTGAGAGTTGCATCATCTAGAAAGGCGGGAATACGCTGGGTGTCTCCGCCTCTCTGTACTTATTTATAATCAACTATGAATCGATCATTGGGTGAAGATAAACCAGTAACACAATCAATACTTCAAAATAAACTGCTTTTCTTGTTTACTGACAAAAGCAAGAGGTAGAGGCCAACGAAAGTCTACTTCCCTTGATTCGGCTCTAGAGTAACGCGAACGGGTACACAATTTGGCGTGCAATTTCTGTGATCAACTCGTGTACGCACTGCATTTACAAGCATCAAATAAAAATTATGTAGAGACAGAGAAAACTCTCGCTTAGTTTCCTGTCATCACATGACAAATATTCAAGCACGTGACACTTTTCCATTCTCAGGAATATTCTTCTTCGATCTAATTGTAATGCAAATTAGGGTTTTCTCCACAACGTTACGTTTCAGAATCGACCACAAGGATATTCGATGCCGAAGAAATCACTATGGTTGCTTTGTTTCTCAAAATAGCTATCCTTAAGGAATTCATTTACCTGACAGCTACAAGTTTGTCTACAAGTCCTGTTGCGATATGAAAAGCGTTTTTCCCCACTTTAGGAAGGTTCAGCGCTAAATGCATTGGAATGAAAACAGTCTCGGTGAGAATTCAAGTAACGACAATTCAACAGGGAACGCAATTCTCGAGGCTAACTAACAATTTATTAAAAAGACTTGAGGCTTAAAAGACACCATTTTTTGACGCAAAGCGGAGCACAATACACGTTTTACTCGAAATTCGTATCCATGTCTCTTTGTGCTTTGTTATTTCGGGTAACGAAAAAACATACAATGTCACCACACCACATTACCATCAAAATTATGAAAAAAACAGTCATCAGTAACAATACCATCACTACAAAAAGGACATGAAGGTGCCAAAAAGGATATAAAGTTACGAAAGGGGAAGCTGGAATGTACTTTTGTTTCCCTTTATTCGAACATTCTCTTGAAGTTTCTTCATAGACGACAGTTGGCTTCAAAAGGTCGAGAGTTAAATGCACCTGCTTACTCACCGTCTGTCAAAGCTGAAGGGTGATCGATATTTAGCGTGACAGGATGACCAGCATCAATTGCGGTCTGAAAACTTGGACACCTCTTTGATTCAACACCCTTTGAAAAGTTAAACAATCCCTTTACAACAACTTAACTGTAATCATATAAATCAAGACAAAGTAATTGACTATTCATGGGGGAAACATCTTCAGACAACCTAACAAATAGCTTTTCGGTACTAAAGTAGATGAAAATGTCAAAATATGTCACGGCTTTCTTAAAGCAAATGGTCGAGTCAACTACCACTGTTCTCTCACTCAGAGCTAAAAAATGTATTTCTCGAAGCAGTTAACTTACTCGTAAGAACGGTGGTAGGTATTATTAAACTTACTATTATCTGAACATCTGGGTACACTGTCTTGACAGCGAGAGCAACACCAGCCAGCAATCCTCCTCCCCCTACTGGGAGGACAACTGCATCCACATTGCACACTTGATCAATGATTTCTAATCCAATGGTGCCCTGCCCACTGATAACGTGAGGATGATCGTGCCTGTTCATTTAGTAATAAAAAAAATTAATCAAGGTAAAGGTTTTTAAAGGTTTTCTGCAAAGGATATCTTCAGGAAGTGCTCAGTTAACGCACAAATGATTGGTTTTGATCATCAATGGCAAAGGTCCTCAATTCGTAAGGGTTCCATAATTAAGCATTCGCGACTGAGGTATTTGAAAAGGGCATTTATTTTTATAACGAAACATCAAAATATAAACACTAAACTACTATTGAGACCCTTCGGATCAGATCTAAATCTAAACTTACCTCGAAATCTTTCGGAACGGCTACGGAATTCAAGAGCCAAGAAACACTCTGGTACTGAATTAACACTTTACGATAACTACCAATTGCGGACGAAGCTATTTCAGCAATAGATGTCACTAGGTCGCATACGTTACGCGACAACAACAAAAAGTTATTACGTAAGTGTCTTTGTTCGTTTTTTTACAAGTTCTTGAACACCTTCCGCACAGTTCTTTTTTTGTAATCAAAGTCTTTTCAAAGGTGAGGAAAGGAAAGATTAAAAGTGAAGTCATTTGCTGTATTAAACCAAAAATTTTCCCCAGAAAGAGAATCACTTAAAAAAATACTTAATAAAAAATGCTACATCATCTGGTAGAAACCCCATAAATGAGTAACACAACGATACCATAAAATAACAACAGTAACAATAGCAACAACAACAAAGAGGTAGCAGTAACCTGTATCACTCACCCTTCGATATAAGCTAGACGCTTTTCCGTTGCCATGCTGGTAGCAAACTCTTTTGCCTAAATGACAAATGATGAGATAATAAGCAAAAAAAAAGACAAAATGACAAGACAAACGACAACGAAAGACTTACTTCCGCTTGGTTGCTTCCCTTTATGATTATGCTGGCGCCAAATTTCTTGCACATCGTTTGTTTGATCAAAGGTGACTGTTCAGGTAAAACCACGTGGACGGGAATCCCTAAGGCTTGCCCGTGAAACGCAAGTGCTATTCCGTGATTTCCAGGAGTGGCCGTTATGACTCCTCGGTCTTTTTGATCCTAAAATTTTTGAAGTTAATTGAAGACCATTAAACTTCTTAGGTCCGATGTCCTAGGAGTTTTCTTCGTCTTGTGTTCCTGAAAATGTTTCTCCGTCAAGAAAAGACCGAGCTTAAAATTTGATATCTTTCAAACTCTGTATAAACATGGGATGTGCTGGACATCATTCATCTCACCGGCATTTACAAGTAAGACGTTTGTCATCTATAAACTCGGTATATAACATGATCCACTGACGAGTTCACGCAGCTCAGTGATGGAGCATTCGACCGCAAAATTGGCAGTAGCTAATGTTTCGTGACATTTTATTAACTTGTTGGACAAATACACGAAATCCCTGGCAATGAAAGCTTATTCGATTCACTGATTCGGCATGATATCGATGTTTGTTGTTTGCACTTGGCTCTAGAGTGTAAATATGATCAAACTGAAAAGTGCTCTTAATGGTGTAACAACAAATAATCGAAAGATAAAGACTGGTATTAAGAAGAAATCAACGCTTACTGAAATTTTGACAAAACTTACCTCAGATAATAGTAACAAGGAATTGATTGCTCCTCTTTCCTTAAAGCTGAAAATAGTTAAACGAACACATGCATAGGGCACTCTTTATTTGCTGGCTAAAAATTCACTTTAATAGATATGCCACTGAAATTTTCAAACAAACTCTGAATTACAATCCTTACCTCCCTGACGGATGCAGGTTTTCCTTTTTAAAAAACACTTCCATGGTACTAAGTTCTGGAATACTGCATTTCTAAAGGTAAGGGTGAGCAAAGAATCGATATTAGAATGGTAGCTTTACTCTAGCAGTTTTAACGAGCTTATTACGTTCCAGAATATTGGGTTAAATGGCGAAGAGAGACAAAACTAAGGGGAACTATACAATCTTCATTATTCTTCCCTCAAAAAGAGGTTACCATTTTTTGAGATACTGCTACATGTGCGTTAACGGACCGGAGATATATTCGCCCCAAATTGAATTTAACATAGCTCACTTGTATATTTTTTGACTGCATCCTCGTTTCTTTCTGTTTCAGCTCGATGAAAACTTCATAGCGCGCGCAAAGGAACGTCCATTGTTACAATGTCTTATAAAATTTACCTCGCAAGGCGTCTTTCCGACCCCTTTTCGGATTCGAAATGAGGCAGCGACGATATCATCAAACTCAATTCCAACTGGTTTTTCCGTGTCGCCACCGAATCCCATTTGTTTCAATTTGTCTCTGAGCTGCTCTGAGAACGCGACAGATGTGCGCGGTTCAGCGAATGGATTCAAAGACTCGTCATAAAGTATTTTCGCTCTCCTCGATATCATTGCTTTTCCCAAAGTCAGATCGCTGTTGCCGTTTTTCTTGAAGCCGTTCTTTTACAGAATCTGTGTTTGTGATCGAGTAAGGAAGCCTAAAAAATATTGTGTAGACTGTTTGAGAAGTTAAATGAATTAATGACGCAATCTTAATGGAATTCTTTAAGTGTTGTGTAGACTGTTTAAGAAGTTAAATGAATTATTAATGCAATCTTAACGAAATTCTTCGCATCTAAGCATCGTCATCACATTAATTGAATTATTCCAGGCACCTTAGAACATTGTCTTTGAATAGAATAAAACCTTATAATCATGGGAACGTGGATGGCATAGTATTGTGAAGATTAACACGGAATGAAAATTTTGAGTTCGTTACAGACAAACTATGACGCAACCTTTGGTGACGACGTCAAATCTTCTTCTGACGTAACGGACGCATTTTCAAGTGAACGCGCTGAAAATTTATGGAGATCATGGAGTCTGATTCTACTTCGACCTTAACAGATGAATCCGAAGCGATATTAGAAAATGAAACAACTGTTTTATTTGATCAAGATTGCCACGTTTCATTGAATCCAATCGTGGATGAGTCACTCTCAACACTAACACCTAAATCACAGATAGACACGAGCAGCAGCAATTATATTTATTTCAAACCTCACACGTACGGAAAAAGACATTCCATCTTGGGGACTGGTAAAAGCAATATATCTGCCTTTAGAAAGCCGGATTTGGCGGAACTTAAAGAAAAATATAACAGAGCGAAGGAAAAATTCAAAGATTGGAATCTGGATAAGTTGTGGGGAGGCCGAGTCGAAAGAATGAAGAGAGTATCCTCTGTTTCGCTTTCAAATATCGTAACCGCGGCGTTTTGGATCCGTGAAGGTGTTCCCAAGACGCCATGTGAGGTTTGTAAAAAAATAATAAATTTCGAGGGCATTTCGATTGATTGTCGTAAAAAATTACTCCCAAAAGCCAACCAGATTATGTTGCATTATTGCAACATAATCATAAAATCCCATCCGTGCGACCATTTATTTATCATTCTATCCATTTGATCATCATTTCTGTATTTACATTTCACCCTATCAAACTCACGAAAATTTCAAACGAGAAAGTGACTTTTTCGCAGAGAGCAGCATCGATTCCAGAGATAGACGACATGGAGGTTTATTTCAAGAGAGAGTACCAGAACCCATCTGGAAGTTTTTATGACAGAGGAGCTCGCTATGCATTACTCCGACTGCATCAGGTAAGAAATCATGGTGCAGCTCATTATTATCTTGGGAGAGTATAAGTAATTATTTGCATAAGTCGAGCGAAGTCGCTGCTTATGTAACTTGGAAAATCTAGCCGAAAATTTTCAAGGTTTCATTTTCAGTCATTTTTAATCATCTTCATTTTCAGAGACATCCACATCAATTTTCTCATGTGAACGGATATGGAGTTTTTGTATGCATTCACGTGCATATGCTACGGTGTATGATATTTTGTATTTGCGTAATTTCGTAAATTCCTTTGAGTAGTTTCACACGGCGCTAATCATGAAGTAAAATATTTCAACGTCACTCCTTCAAATACGAATCGATGGCATATACGAATTGCAACCGGCCACTCTGTATCATTTCATGAAAGTAAGGCTTGAACAAGTCATTATAATTCGTCCCCCATTACGTCCATAACTTTCATGAAAAAGAAAATGATCTCGCATTCCTTCCCATGACAGCAAGCTGTTGAGTTAACTGTGGATGTCATTAATCGACAGAGTCAAAAGAGATCTGGAGTCATCGCCACCTCATCTGGTAACCATGCAATCGCTATTGCCTATCACGGGAAATCCCTCGGGATTCCTGTTACGGTTCTTTTACCAGAAAGTAGATGTCCTGTTAAAATCAGGTTGTGCGAGAAATATGACGCTGACATCACTGAATGTGGTCTGGACGAGAGTGAGGTCAATATATTCATTATACTTTCGATAACTGTATTTATTGTTTTTTTAGAGGGCACGGTAACGAATCCTGCAATCTGATTGGTTCTTTACCCGGTCAGTATTTTCCTATCTCTGCCCACGGGCCACGGTAACGCTCTCGTAAGACGCCGAGTACATCCCAACTTTCATTGTCATTTTTCATAAATATACCTCGTTTTCCGGCTGGGCAGTATTTTAAAGCAAACAAGTCGGTCACTACCTCAAGCCGATAAATAACTTATGAATCCTCTCTTTTCTCTCTCTCAAATCACTTTGGTTGACAGAAAAATATTGGTTTCAGAATGAATTTGTATAAACAATAGTGTCATTACTTTGGTTGACAAGCGGCCTAAAAACTGTCTGCAATTAATTTTAATCGTTCACAAAAAGTACCCAGAAAGTAAAAACGTGAGGTATTTGGTTACAGTTAAACTGAACGATGGAACTTTCATTAATTTAACATCTGAATTTTCTCGAGAAAATTGTTAGTAGAGAAAGAGCGAGCAAAGTTTTAATTTAAGTTCTACAACAAATATACGCTCCCGGTGAGTCTTTCCAATTCCGTTCAATTTGGACATTTGTACCGTAAATTACACAACAGAAACTGAAGGAATTTTTTGAGAAAAGGCCGCATTAAATTCCCTTGTGTCTCGTTGGAGTGTGCCGTTCGAATTTAGTTTTTGTGAAGGAAAGACCAGATTTACACACGCCATTGCAGCAAACAAACGAGCAAACTCTCACAACTTCAAAATAAAAAGATTGAATTTACTCACAATTACTTTCCTCGCCGTTTACTTAATGAACAGAGGTAAATCTTCGTACATGAATGAATCGTCGATGAGAGTGAATAATACTTTCCGTTAGATCATTGACTGATTTTGAAGAAAACATTGTCGTGACAGTCCTTGCCAAACTAGTTCCGTTGTTTTCCAAATGCTCTTATGCTTTTTTTTTCTTACGCGCTCTCTAATTGACAGGTGTCAGATTGTGACAGATACTTGTAAAAATAATGTTTCAAAGTTTGTTTGGAAGCCTTTTAAATCACCTTTATCGTTACGGAAATGAAAATGTTTCGCTGAGGCATCTCTCTTTAATTTGCATCACCTCTATTTTAACTACCATTTACTCGCTCAAAAATTGTTCAGTTTATGGAAGATCTTATCGTATTTTCAGCCCTAAATCATTCGGGTTCTTTCGGAAAGAATTTCGTCAAGTTTAAAAACAATAAATATGTTATTTACCGGCTAAGGGTCGGTCCGTATGGTGAAAAACTGTGACCTCGGTCTTGAAAATGCTGCCCTCAGCCTACGGCCTCGGGCAGTATTTTCAAGACCTCGGTCACAGTTTTTCACCATACGGACCTCCCAGCCGGCAAATAACATATATTTTCTGGAGGCTGAATCAGTAGCCATGTAATTAAAACCAACACACGTTTAATATCACGTCCAAGTTGCAACTAGTAATGAAGCCATCAAGTGTCAAATAAAACTTGTAATATAAATCTTTTAATGCTCTAATATTTGCGCTATCTAATACCTCTTCCTAATATAACTGAAACAGTTTTAAAAACACCTTAGTGATTAGCTATACGTTTCTTATTTGGATTTCATGAAACTAGGATCGATGGACCGAACGCTACCCGAATTTTAAATGTCTTTTACTCACTTTGATTTCTATTTTTTGTTTTAGCTGCTGGAGAGAGGTACGAAAATCGCAATTGAGAAGGGACTTATTTCTCTCAATGAGTAAGCGTATTCCATGGTTTGTCTGAACTTTTTCATGTCCTATGGGATCCTACTCAAACATGCCCATCTTTCAAATTCAACATCAAGATATATATTTTTGTAAAAATTCCGTTTAGGAAAAAAGAGGTTAGAGTCCAAATTCCGTAGAAAATATGTATTAAAGTTATTAAATGAACCACATAATTTGGCTAAAAAATTAAAGCTTCGATTCTTTTTAACAATTCCAAAGTGGTAACAAATTTACGCGAACGAAAGCTCAAGAACAACTAAAACTCGACAAAGAAAAACAAAAAGTACGCGAAAATGTCCACGTCGGTTTTCCAATCTCAAGGTTAGGGTTCTTTGACGTGACTGGCTCATTTGTGAAATGACGCACACCGCGCGTGAATGCAAAAGAATACAAGGAGGGGAGAGGAAGAGAAAAATGGTTACTTAAAATTTAAAAACCAAAGAGATTTTCTACAATTTTTTTTGCTATATCGGCACTAAATCAACAAGATAGTGAATAACAAGAACCTAAATCGTGGGTAGGATGTTCATTTTTCGGTGCATGAGTCGAGGACCACAATACAAGTGAAAAAAATCTAATTCATGGTCATAAGATTTGCAAATTTCCAGATACATTTACATCAGCCGGATACCTTATTGTTGAAAAAGATCCCACAAAAATATAAAATAATACTTTAGTAAATGTGCGGTCATCCTTTCATCGTAAATCAAGTTTATATCAGTCACCTGTAAGGGTTGTTTGTTACTTGCACTGAAATAGAATAGATATTACTCATCTTGAATGTTAGTTATTTTTTATACACTCAGAAACGACAACCCTGATATTGTGAGCGGGCAAGGTACCATGGGATTAGAGATTGTGGATCAGCTAGAAGAAGTAGATGCTATAATCATTCCCGTTGGAGGAGGGACCCTAATTGCTGGGACTTGTATAGCTGTCAAAACGCTTTACCCTTCTGTAAAAATCATAGTAAGCGTTAATATTCTTTTAAAAATGATTCTAGTTGTATATGGTCTACGGTTTTCCTTACGTAAATTTATTTTGCCATATTACCTAAAACTTTTGTGTGACATAGAGATACCGAGATTGACTTTACTCTGAATGTGTCCGTTTTCTAGTTAGTCTCTGAGAGAAAGTATTTAAACGCATATCGCCTCAGCTTTTCCTTACTTCCCTTCAATTCTTTTAATTTACGACTTGGTTAATAATAAAATCAAACATTTTATTCGGGTAACAAGCATTCTCTGGTTTGATATAAGGAATGATGATCTTTTTATGCACTCAGGAAAACGCTGAGAAAAACATGTATTAACCGACCCTGAAACGTGACTAAGTTGTGTTTGTTATCAGGCAGTAACAAGGGAACGGAGCCTAGATGTGGCTATGGCACACCACGAAGGAAACGTAACGAAAACAGCTGTATTATCTAAAGACTTGATAAAGGTGGACGGTAAGCTATTTCAGTGTGAACATACTCTCTCCAGAAACCTCATATAACATTTTCAATTCATCTCTTCCATTAAAGAACCAGGCCATCACGATTTATGGACCTTCAACAAACTGGGCAGTTTAAAATCTCGATGTTTAGGTGCAGTACGTCAGCAAAATCAATTAAATGGCGCTCTAACTTAAATTGTTAATAACTTTTATGGTTTTGATATTCTGAACACCCTCAATTGCAGATATGGATAGTAGTGAGATTAGCAGCAGTCCTCTCAGACCCGCCGAGGATTTAATGGACAAATGCATCACTGTAAAGTATGTTCACAGGCAGATTTATATTACGAAGTTCATGCGAAACGAAGCATCTGAATCAATGTCACCGTCAAAGATGATCGTGAGACTGTCGTAATGATAACAAAAGTTTTCATGCCAGAACTGTTGTTTGGTCTGAGATAGCCATGTTTGTGATGAGTCAGTTAGCATTTTTATGAGGATTGCCTCACTTCTATATCAACCACATAGAGATGCTTTAGCGAGAATGACAATCGCTCTGTGAGCGGTTTGAAAGGAGGTTCTTTCCATTCAGAAGAGAACCTTGATTTCTAAGAAAAAGGAATATTGTGTGACTGTATTTCCCTTTCAGGGAAGATCTAATAGCATTAGCTCTGCTGAGATTGTTGGAGTATGAGAAAGTCATCTTAGAAGCAGACGGTGCAATAGGGCTGGCGGCTCTTCTAGGAGGGCATCTTCCTGAACTTAAAGGAAAACGGTACGGCAAAATGATAAAAGAAATTATACGAAAACCAATATGATGCTGCTCATTACTGATACATGCCAAACAATTGGAAATAAAGTGCATGGCATTTTTTATAAACGCCAGCAAGAGAAAAGTAGATAGTAACGTTAACCTATCAGACAATAGAAACCGTAACAACGCACATGAAATATCTCTATCGCTCCAAAAAAATAATAAATAAATAAAAATATTTAAAAAAAATAGATAGATAAATGAACGGCCATTATGCACGAATCCTGACATCCTCATCCTAATTGGCTTAGTCCCATAGTGGTAAAGGCACATTTTAATCTAACACACTTTTCGATCATTGGTTCATTTCGTTCATCTTCTGGACACAAGATGGAAACTTTTCCTTCACTCGGTAGGTGTCATTTGATTGTCGAAGCTAAAATAAAAAGCACCCCAAGATATTCAAAGACTTAACTTTATCAATAACGTTAATTGCAACCACCACCTCCTTTAATTTTTTTTCCTCAGGGTGGTAGTTGTCCTTACTGAGGCAAACATAGAGCCAGCTCCTCTTCCGCAGGTGATTGCCCGCGGGCTCGCGACGGATGGAAGACTGTTACGGTTTGCAGTTCGGATCGATGACCGGCTTGCTACCATGGCAACGCTTTTGCGGTTAATTGCATCAACAGGAGCAGTGTAAGTAGGACAGAGATTGAGCAGATGTAATTTTTCGGAGGGCTTTCACCCTCAGGTCCCACTGGTGAACGGAGTATACATATTCCAGTGGATCTGAACGTCTTATTTTTCGTTGTATTTTTAACAAAAGGCCTTTATGCAGGGGAGAAACCATATTATTTTTCATTTTTGCCATCGTAAAGTACCTGTAGATGTTGAGTACCCACAACGTTATGTAATAAACTGTCTGAAGATTGCCTTAAGATGTACCGAAAAATTATTCTGTTGGCACCAATATTTCGCAAAACAACTCCGTAACTTTAAATGGCATGAAGCTTTAATAAGCTGTTGATTATTGTGTAGCATAAGCATAATTTAGAAATCGAACCCTCAATCAAATCTAATTGTGACTTTGTGGAACGTTTTAACAGTCTTTGTCTGTTCTTATCAACAGAATTAAAGATGTCAGTCAAGAGCCAGCGTGGAGTGATCCCGGCATGCTTTGCCTACAGGTATTGTATTTCATTGCAAACTATTAGCTTGTTGTTACAAGTGGACTCTAATTCCCTTAGGTGCAAATGTCCTCACTGTTTGTTCATTTTCGGTATTTTTTCTTTAATTGTTTTTCCACCAAAATTTTTTAAAATATATATATATAAAAGGACCGTTTTCTTGCTCTTTTCTTTTTTTACAGGCAAAAGTGATGGCTGAAGTACGAGACCGTGAACACTCTCGTCAGTTGAAGTCACTTTTAGATCAGAATTTTCTCGTTAGCTTTTGGAGCTCTGAAGCGCACAACTCAGAATAAAAGAACTGTTGAACGAAAAGGCAACCACCCCTATCTACCTTAACTTTTGTTTTCAGCTCTGACAGCAAACGGCAAATTTGGCTGAAATACTTTGCTTTCTGCCATTTTCACACGAAAGGGAACGCATTTGCTCTTACTGTAAATGTCTTTTTTTTAATCAATTTCTATGGGACCGATATGGGGATTGAAGAAGGGAATACAAGGTCTTACTTTCAGCCAATTTTTTTGAGGCAAAACGCCATCTTTCTACAAGTCTTTGTTTATATATACCAGTATCTTTCTTTCAAATGTCAGTCATGCACTCCAAACCTATCTCTGACGAAGAAATTGGTCAAAACATTAAGTCTAAGTTCAATTTTCGAGGGCATAATCTATAGTGTTTTTTAAAAAAAAAGGCTTCTGACCTCTCGGGGGATGGGTGTTGAGACAGTCTCTGCAGTGATTTTATTTTCGTTAGGTGCTGAAACAAAATAAAAAATATTCCCATAACTGAGATTGAAAGACTGCTTTTATTTCTGTGAATCTGCCAGCTTGAAGAGTATGAGAGAATGGTTATTTGGTTCCGAAATAACAAACCTGCCTTTAAAAAGCACTGGATTATGGTCCCAATGGAAACGGAATCACAAATCCCAAGCTAGCGGGAATATTATACAGTTAATATATGGTCTCGAGGTAGAACAAAACTAGTTTCCCGTGGGAACATACATCAAGTGCTTTGTTATATATTTAGACTTTCCCTTAAACAATCATATGTTGTATTCGGCGCGCGGGCAACAACTGCGCAATTGTATCCCGGTTAACGAAAATTCGATTAACGAAATCAATTTTCGATGCCGCACTTTAAATTGTTCATTTTTTCTTTCGATTAAACTTCATACCATAAGTCATCTTTAATCGAATTTCTGGTTTCAAATACGGTGAATACATATATGCATTTATATATATATGTGTGTGTGTGTGTGTGTATATATATATATATATATATATATATATATATATATATATATATATATACACACACACACACACACATATATATATATATATATATATATATATTCAACATTCAAGTAGCACAAATAGATTAAGGATAGAAACAAATTGACTCCGCTCCACTTTGATACTTCAATGGCAGATGTTCCTCTTTAAGCATAAAGGCGATTGACTAGTATTTCAGTTGAAAACAGTAGATCAGAGCAGCAAAAACCTTAAAAAAAAAAGCAGAACTTGATCTTCTTGGAAACAGTTGTTTTTAAAATTGAGGCAAAAAAGCGGCGTTTAAACCAAGGAATAATAAACAGTTTACAATCTTTTTTTTTTGGTTTAAAGTTAATCGAACAAATATTTTTCTATATTTTTTTTTATCGTTTTGAGGAGCAGCAAAAAAGTGAGCGAAAAAAGAAATTGATTTTTCCCAGTGACTATTCAGAACTGACGGTGAAAAAATGAATAATGTCAAAAGAAGAGACACTCATTGAGTAAATCATTATTAATCTCGCGGACTTCATGGCTGAAGAGGTCATGGGTTCAAATCCCGTACGGGCCTGAATTTTTTTCAGGTCCTATTTTCAGCTACTAGTTCAGTAGTGTTCTTAGCTGCGAGGTTCTCTTAAATTCGTTTCTTCACCGCAGTGCAAATATAGGAATTTCATATATCTAAAATTATTATTCATTGCTGATGTTTTCTTACACCAATATTGCTTTCTTTAAATTGACTTTTGCACGGAATTTTCACTTCCTCGCTGTTGTCACAAGGTGTTATATTTTAATCGGTGTCATGGAAATTCAAATTCACCAATCAATTTTAAGCGCCACCATAAAATCAACCTTTATACTCATGTACTGAGCTGAGATAGGTATTCTGCTTTCATCTAGATTTAGTATTTTCTGGGGGGCTTATTCGATCGGGCTTTTTCGGTAAGTTTGCGAATTTCTATCGGTAATATCTAGCGGGTACGGCTTATCGTTTCTCAACACACAAATAGAAATTGTGGAATATCGCTGATAGATTGGATAAACAGGTCACATTGTACCTAAATGTCCATTTCATGTACACAAAGGAATCGACAAAAGAGATGCCGTGAATGTAACCGGGTGTAACATTACTCATTCTGGATCTCTCTATTTCCTGCGGTTTTTCGAATAATTACCGAATTGATCGTTAGGATTATTACTGTTCATCTGAATAAGCACAGGTAGGCTAAGCTCGCAAAATGAGCCTCCGAAAATATACAAATTTGTTTACGTTTGTGCAATGGCCGAAACATAAGGATTTGCACGGGAATAAAAGGTCTCGTTCTCGACATGATAATTCTGACTTAGTTCTGAATAAAACAAACTTACCGCGCTGAAGTGGTTGTTCCTTTGCACGCATTAGCTTCCTGGGTTGATTTAGCTTAAAGTAACGGTCCTAAATCAGCCCAAGGAACTCACATGATGCAACGGATCAACTACTTAAGCGCAGTAAGTTTGTTTCATTCAAACTTGGTTCATTTTTTTTTCGGTTTAGAGCGCGACCATTTATTCCCATACAAATCCTTATATTTCGGCTAGTGCGCAACGTAAACATATTTGCATATCTACTGAGGCTCATTTTGCGAGCTTGGGCCACCTCTGGAATTGCATGTACCATTTAAAATCTTTAGAATTATGTACACCATTTCCCATTCGACGCAAACGCTTTGGTTTAGTCCTTTTCTTAACAATTCGACAAGACGTTTGGTATGCTCTCCATTCTAAACACGGACTCTATGGCTCTGAATTGATACATAAAAGTCGTTAAGTCAAACTATCAAATAACTATCAGGTTATTTTCCTGTTCAAGAGCAGTTCGGCTATAGTGTGGTCTCTTATGGCTGGTTGCCATACTACTTGTTACGCCTCCTTTGTACGGATGGGGAAAAATAAATTATCACGAACAATTTTCTGTTTGTACCTACAACTGGCGGGAAGGACACCTATTCTACGCCATAATGGTTATGAGCGGGTTTCTTTGCATGGTGGCAATCGTGATAGAGTATTTTTTATTATTAAAATTACAAAAAAGTGAAAGAGAGCACTAACAGTCTTAACGCCAATGGCGGACAAAATGGAATTGGTGTCTCTTCGTTTCAACGAGCTGACGTCAAATTTTTAATGACGCGTTTTACGGTAGTTTGTTTCTTTGTCATGCATGACATGGGGTCCTGTCTCCATAATCGTTCATGAGGGCGGTGAGTTACAGTACTACGCAAGAATTGGATACGGCTTTTCTACTGATGTTCTCAAGTAGTCTGGTAAATCAGACAATATACGGAATTATGAAGCCGCAGTTTAGGGAGGCTTTCAAGAAAACATTCATGTGTGGACTTTATGATGGCGAAATAAGAAATCAGATCTAGAGAAGGAGCGTAATAATAATGAAGCGTCCGATTGATATGAACAGCAATGATATTGACATAAACTTATCACAGGGCAGATTACTTAGGTAAGGCTTTACACAGCAGCTTTCAGGCTCAGTTGAATTAAAAATCGTCTTATTAAGCAGTAAAAGCTGATTGTGTAACTGTTTTTCTGCACAGAACAAGACCTGATATGTCTGACCAACTGAAGAAGGAAGAAAAATCAGTGGTCTGCTAAAGAGCAATTTTACTTCGCTCAACCGCTTTGAAATGGGAACATTTCTAAGCTATGAATAGAAGTGCTTCGCATAAGAAATTACGACAAAGTCGGTGCCACGTGGATGTATGCGATGAAGAATACCATCGATCAGATTCATTCCTGAAAAGACTGGGACTTCTTATATGATTCAAGACATATAAATGGATCCGCGATGGTGGGGCGAAGAGGGTCAATGCTATAATGCAGGATTTGTTATACGGAATTTGTTTGTTATCAACGGTACACCGATAATTTGCAAAAGGCATCATCAAATTACTATATTTTTTCTTTAGGTAGGTTTTGAAAAAAATCTTGCTCGCCAGATGTGAAGTTTAAGGTGATAGTTAACCACTAGACTTGACAAAATAATACGACCTATTGTCTTCAAAATCATGTCTGTTGAGGCCAAGCGGAAAATGCGGTAAGAGAAAATTAATTCGTTTTACGCACTCAAATCATGTTTGCCCTGGTCGTTTAAAAGTATTATCATGGAATAATACTACAGTCCCGTGTGTTCAGATTTCTGTTAAGGGTTCTGACGTGTTTTCTTTATTCTTAATATCAATTCGAAAATTCACCAAGACCGTTTTTTAGCCATGTTGGATTTTCCTGTTCCCAGTTATCATTTCGTCACGAAAAGAGTCTTCACTTTTCGCCAGAATTTCGACCTTCCACTTGGTTGAATTCGAACAGTCGATAATTGTCACGTTGTAACAGTTCAACTTCACTCGAATGCAAGCAATCTCCTCGGTATATCCTCTGACGAAAGAGGGAAAAAGAGGTTTAAATTTCAGTCAATTTTTAGTAGCTAAACGCCTTGCGACAGATGTTTCTCTTTCTCGGTATCTTTTTTCCTGAATTTCAGTCAATCCACAACATTCTATGACAAATGAAATGATCAAAATTTCCAGGTTAAGTTCAATTTCCGAGGGCATAATTTATTGCCCCGTGGAAAGGAGCCTCTTGGCCTCTGGAGAATTGGGTGACAAAGAAGGTCTTTGCAATGATTCTATTTTTGTAAGGTGCTGAAACAAATTAATTAAGGTTCCCACACATTGAGATTGACAGAGTGCTTTCATTTCTGCGAACCTGCCAACTTTGAGAGCAGATGATATGAGAACTGAGAAGCAATCACGAGAACCGCGGATAAAATGCGAGTACAAAAAGCCAGTTTAAGTTAGATGCTATCATGGCCTGTGTTTTCAATTACGGGGTTTTGTTTAGCATGGGGGAAGGAAAGTGGGTTACTATAGAAAGAGGGGAAGTTGGGTAGTTATAGCAGTTTCTTTCAGAGAATATTTCCTCGTACTTTGCTCCAAATCTTGAGAGTACTTTCTCTGGTTTAGAACGACAAGTATTCT